TTGCATACATGATAAAAGTAGGGAAGAAACCAATGAAAACATAGAAATGATTCCCACACATGGAACTTATGTTACGAAAATTAACATAGATTGATTGGATACCAGAAGATTTCAAGACGGCAAAAAACATTGGTGCAATTTATTTATAGACATACTACAATCCTAAAGCATCTAAGAGATGTGTGTCCCAATGAACTTGTAAAGTTCGAAGATAACGTTAATTGTGCAGTTTTTGTCTCTATAAAATATTATATCCTAGAAAGAACACTTAATTAGGTGGTTTTTGTTCTCCAATTGGTGTACCTCACTCTTAGCTTCTACTTAATTGATCATTTTGACTTTCTTTTACCCTTACTTGTAGAAGACAAGATTGGGGTACGTAAATCAGAAGAATATAACATCCTAATAAAGTTGTAAATAAATTGTGCGAGTGTTTTTGCATTCTCCAAAACTTTTGATATCTAGACTATCTTTAATTTGTTAACTATTGTAAAATAAGTTCCATACAATTAGAAGGATCTACAGTCTAAGAAACTATCATGGATTTTTTTATTAGGTTCTTGCCAGATTCCATCATGCCAGAAAATATTGAGTTTGACACTAATTGTACCATAGTTTAAACTCTTGATTTAGATATACCTATAGCTATAATTAAGATAAGCCTATTTTCTCAAACAAAAGGAGTCAGGTTTTGTACCAAATATCCTATTTCTAACTTTGTGGCTTGTGAACCTTATGCCCCTCCTATAGAGCTTTTGCCTAGTCCATTTTATCTATGTCTATTACCCGTGGTTGAATGGAATCTTTCAAAGATCCTAAATGGAAATAAAATATGCTTAAAGAAATGAAGTCTCTATAACAAATAAGACTTGGGAATTAGTCGTGCCCTCACCAGAAAGGAATTTAGTCGGCTACAATTTGGTATTTGTAGTGAAACATAAAGCTAATGGTTCGATTGAAATGTTCAAGGTCAGCCTTTAAGATAAAGGATTCACTTAAATATATTAAATGAATTATCAAGAGAGATTTGGAAGAAGAAGTTTATATGGTGATTACTCCTGAATTTGATAAGGAAAAAAAGTCGAGAAAAGGTGTGTAGATTGAATAAAGCCTCATACGGGCTAAAAATGGTTTCTCAAAACATGATTAGATATATTTAGGAAATCTATAATCAACAACACAATGTTAATCATACTCTATTTATATGATATCACAAGGATAAGATAACTCTTCTTATAATTGATGTTGATTATATAATAATGACATATGATGACAAAAAAGAGATGGTTTGATTGATAAAGCTTTGGGCTCAAGAGTTTTGTATTTAAGGCAAGCTCCAATTTTTAAGTGAACTGAAGTGTCTAGATTGGGAAAAAGAATCTTAAGGGGAGCTACATTTTAGATTTTCTAGAAGAAATTTTGTACTTTTTATGAAGTAAATAGAGAAGTGAGAAGAGAGTAAGAAGAGAGAAGATGAAGACGAGATAAGAAGAAGAAGAAGTCGTAGAGAGAATATCTCAGCTTTGTATTATTAGATTAATTCAAATACAATGATGTATTTATATTGAAGATCAATATAGTGTCTTTTGAGTAACTAACTTCTTGAATTGTAACTAACTCAAATTTGTAACTAACTTAACTACTCTAACTAGTTTCTTTCAACACTCCCCCTCAAGCTAGGTAGTGTGAAAATGTTACAAGTTCCTAGCTTGAAATTGATATATAAATGTTGTAGTGTATTAAGACCTTTTGTAAGTAAATCAGCTGGTTAATCTTTTGTTTATATGTAACTTGTTGCTACCAACCTTTTGTCTATTTTTCCCTTATAAAGTAGTAGTCTATTTCAATATATTTGGTTTTTTCATGATACACTAGATTAACTGCAATTTGTATAGCAGCTTTGCTGTCTGAGTAAATATCTATAGGTAGTTTCAAGTTTACTCCTAACTCTTTCATCAGTCCTATAATCCATATTAATTCTGAAACTCTGGCAGCCATGCTCCTGTATTCTGCTTCTACAGAGCTCTTCGATATGGTTGTTTGTTTCTTTGACTTCCAAGTTAATAGAGAATCTCCAAATTTAACCATGTAATCTGTCACTGACCTTCTTGTATGTGTACATGAAGCCCATTCTGAGTCACAGTAGGTTGTAAGAGTTGTATTCTTGTTACTAAACATTAGAACTCCTCAACTTGGTTGATTCTTCACATACATTACAATCCTTAGAGCAGCTTCCATGTGTGATTTCTTTGGTTGTTGAAGAAATTGACTTAAAGTATTAACCCCAAAGGCTATATCAGGTCTTGTTACAGTTAGATATAACAACTTTCCTATCAGCCTTTGGTATGCTCCTTGATCTACTAGTGGATCATTTGCGTTGGACTTTTCTGAGTTTCCTGATCTGATATACTCATCAAGCTGCTTAGTTGTTAACTTAACATTTGTATCCATTGGTGTTGAAGCTGGTTTATAACTGCTGAGTCCTGTCTCTGATATAAGCTCCAGTGTGTACTTTCTTTGGTGCATAAGTATACCTTGATTAGACCTGGCAAACTCAATACCTAAGAAGTATCTTAGTTCTCCAAGATCCTTCATTTTGAACACCTGTTTTAACTTCTCTTTTATCTCTTTCACAATTTTTAGACTATCTCCTGTGACTAATAGATCATCCACATACATAAGAATAATCACCATTCCAGATTCATCTTTCTTGATGAACATAGACTGATCATACTCACTTTGTTTAAACTTAAGTTCTACTAATGCCTTAGACAGTTTAGCATTCCAGTCTAGGAGCTTGTTTCAACCCATATAATGACTTCACAAGTCTACATACTTGTTGTTTCTCCCCCTGACTTGTGAAACCTTGAGGCATTTCCATATATATTTCATCAAACAAATATCCTTGTAAAAATGCATTGAACACATCCATTTGATGTACACACCATCCATTTTTTGCAGCTAGTGCCAACACTGTCCTAACAGTTTTCATCTTTACTACAGGAGAGAATGTCTCTTCGTAGTCAATTCCTTCTTGTTTGTTGTACCCTTTAGCCACTAGTCTGGCTTTATACCTTTCTACCTCTCCTGTGGATTTATATTTGACTTTGAATATCCACTTGCAGTGTATTGGAGTCTTTCCTTCAGGAAGAATTACTAAATCCCAAGTATGGTTGCTTTGCAATGCTTCAATTTCAGACTTCATAGCTTCTATCCATCTTGGATCTTTAGCAGCTTCTGTATAAGACTTTGGTTCAATATGATTTGAAACTGCAGCTATGTATGCACTATATTTGTCAGATATATTCTCATAACTTGTATATTTTGAATGCCATAGTCTGATTCCTTCTGAATGTTGAGAGATACAAAATATTTTAACCAAATAGGTGGTTTACTGCTTCTTCCTGACTTTCGAGATGGTTGTAAAGGAATCTGTACTGTATCTTCATTTACCATAGTCCTTAAATCCTCATTATGTTGACATTGTTCCCTACCTTCATCTTGTATGTGTTGTTGAACCTGATGAGTAGGTGTAACAATAGGAATACTGGACAATTGAAATGAATGATCTAAAGTTGAATGAGTGTCTTTAAACACAAGTTCTAACAGTTTCCCTTTAACTAATGGAAATATTGTTTCATTGAATATGACATCCCTGTTAACAAAAAACACTTTATTAGCTAGATCATATAAAATATATACTTTTCGCACCTCTGAATATACCATATGAACAGACATTATAGACCTTGATTCAAGTTTATCATGTTGATTTGGCATTCTACCAGAGCATAAACACCCTAGAATTCTTAGATGAGCTAATGATGGTTCTTTTCCATGGAGTTTGTTAAAAGGAGTTTTTCCTTTTAACACGGAACTAGGTAGCCTGTTTATCAAGTATGCTGCAGCTAAGACACAATGCCCCCAGAATTTTATAGGTATATTAGCCTGCAACCTGATGGCTCTAGTTATTTCTAGAATATGTCTATGTTTTCTTTCAGCTACCCCATTTTGTTGGGGTGTATATATACATGTTGTTTGATGAATAATTCCTAACTGTTTAAATAAATGTTCACATATTGAGTTAATGAACTCAGTTCCATTATTAGTTCTAACTATCTTAACTGTTTTATCAAACTGATTTCTAGTATAATTCATAAAATATTGAAGAAATACACAAACATCAAATTTCTGTCTCCATGTATATCTTGAATAGTCATCTACAATTGTTAAGAAATATTTGTGTCCATCATATGTATTGGTTTTATAAGGACCCCATAGATCTAAGTAAATCAATTCAAAACAACTACTACTTTTTATACTGCTATTCTGAAAAGGTAATCTACACTGCTTAGCACAAGGACATACTACACAATCTCCTATTTGATTTCTAATAAAAGTAAGCTCAATGTCAAAAAGTTTATGTAATATTGAAGTAGATGTGTGTCCTAATCTTTTGTGCCACAGATTCATATTTATCTTGTCTGTTGACACACTCTTAGATTCTTGAGCAGCTAGACTGATAGATCTTCTTGCATCTTTATTTAGTAGCCAATATAGCCCATTCTCCTCTCTACAAATCTCCTTCACCTTCCCAGTGAAGAGTTCCTGCAAAACAAAAAACTCAGGGAAGAAAGAAGAAAAACATTGTAATTCTTTTGTTAGTTTTGAAAATGATAACAGATTAAATTTAAACTCTGGCACATACAATACATTAAATATAGTACTACCATCAGATATATTACTTAAAATAGTGTGTGTAACTTGTGTTTCATCTCCATTAGGCAATTGAACAGTTCTATTATAGCCTAATTTATTAACTGATAACTTGTTTAGTAACTCTAAGTTTGAAGCCATATGATTTGTGGCTCTTGTGTCCACAATCCAATTAGGTTTGTGAGACACATTCATAGCCATTGAGTTAGTCATACCTGTACTGTTTGCAGCTGTGGTAGACATGGAATTCTGATTGACTTGAGGACTATGTTGTGCTAGCATCTGTACTATTGTTCTTGTGTAAAATGATTAGCATCAACTTGACTTGGCTTGGATTGAACTTGATCCATGCTACTTGAATTTTTTCCATGACTATACACATTCGTATCAGAACCATACTTGAATTCAGATTGTCCACTTGCAGCATGAAGTACTTCATTTTGTGTGTTCTCTTTTGTACTCACATTGTAAGCTGCACTCCCACCTTCAGAGGGTTTCTTCTTTTTATACTTGAACTCAGGGGGATATCCCACTATTTTCCAACAATTATCCTTGTTGTGTCCTCTTATTTTACAAACCTCACAATATGGATGACAATTCCTTGTGAACTTTTGATTTCCACTTGTTCTGCTGTACATAACAGATTCATAATTGCCTGTATGTGACATTGGATTTGCACCCAAAACTCCATTCATAGCTGACACACACCTTTGACTCTCATCATCCATTACCATAGCATAGGCTTGATTGATTGAAGGTAATGGACTCATGAGCAGTATTTGACTTCTTGCTTGATTATATGAGTCATTTAGCCCCATCAGAAACTGGAACAGTTTCAGTTTTTGTAGATGCAACATGAATTCCTTGGATTTTTCACAGTTACAACCTGGTGGTGGTACCAAAGCCTCAAATTCCTCCCAAAGAGTCTTAAGTTTGGAGAAATAGATTGTTACATAATTTACTCCTTGAGTTAGAGTGGCTATCGCCTTATGCAAGTTGAAGGTTCTTGAACAATCTATCTTGGTGAACCTTTTTTGTAGATCTTGCCACACTGCTTTTGCAATGGCTGCATACATAATGCCACCTAGTAAACTCTTAGAAACAGAGTTCATTAGCCAAAATTGAACAATGGCATCAACTCGATCCCAATGATTCCACAAATTTTCACTATACTTTTCTTTATCACATGATCCATCTACCATTCCCAGTGTATTTCTACCCAGCAGAGCAATACACATAGATCGAAACCAGATTGCATAGTTTTCCAAACCTGTTAGCTGGAATGAAATGATCTGATTTCCACTAACATCTGATGGAGATAAGAACAATGGATGATTGTAGTCAATTTCTTGACCAATTTTGGCAGCTCATTTGACATTTTCTTGAACAATTACTGGTCCACATGAACTCTATCATCCCCAGCCATTTTCCAGAGATTTCTTCAACTTCTTTCACTCTAACGATTGATTAGCGGAAGCAATAGCACTGATTGAAACCCAGATTTCACAGAGTCAGATCCTCTGCTCTGATACCATGTACTTTTTATGAAGTAAAGAGAGAAGTGAGAAGAGAGTAAGAAGAGAGAAGATGAAGACGAGATAAGAAGAAGAAGATGCTGTAGAGAGAATATCTCAAGTTTGTATTATTAGATTGATCCTTTAATTCAGATACAATGATGTATTTATATTGAAGATCAATATAGAATCTTTTGAGTAACTAACTTCTTGAATTGTAACTAACTCAATACTTGTAACTAACTTAACTACTCTAACTAGTTTCTTTCAACAAAATTGTATGTTGGGTTGTAAGCTAGCAGGACCAACAAGTGAGAGCAACCACACATTACAAGTAGGAGAGTTGGTTGATAGACAAAAGATATTAGAGAATGACTGGAAGACTCATTTATATTTCACAAACTATGCCTGATATAGCATAAATAGTAGCATCGTAGGTCAGTTCATGCATGATCCTCGTGATTGTCATAGGCAAGTTGTTTTTTTATTTTGCGATATTTAAAATCTACTATAGAAAAAGGTCTTTTTTTCACAAAACACCGTCACCTCCATATAAAAGCTTTTTTAAATGTTGATTGGGTGGGATCTCTAGATGATAGGATGTGTATAACCGGTTATTGCACACTCTTGAGAGGGAACTTAGTCATTTGGAGAAGCAGGAAGCGAAGTGTAGTTACTAGATCAAGTGTTACGTTGAAGTAGCGTGTAGAGTTATGCCTCAAGATGTTTGTGAACTTATGTGGATACAAAAGATACTAAAAGAAGTAGACTTATACGGAGATGATATATTATCCTTGTACTGTGATAACAAGGCTTCCATCAGTATATCCCAATATCCAATAATGCAAAACAATATGACCGAATAAAACATATTAAAATTTATCGAGACATCAACAAGGAAAAGTTGACAGTGATACCTTGAGCTTATTCCATGTGATGTAAATCCAACTAAGTAGATTCTTATCTGATTTTTTTCCAACATTATAGAGATTATATTTTATTTCCTTAATTGTATATTTCGTAGTTGGGCATTTCACTACTAAAAAAACAGAATTTAGCGACATAAATCTTTTATTGATGAGAAACAATATCTTTCCCTAATCCTATTTAGTGACAAATTAGCAAAAAAATTTTTGTTATCTACGAGCAAAATATCAATAAATTAGCGATGAATTTCACATCCTAATCCATCTTTTTAGTAGTGTTATTTTTATTCATGTCATGACCCAAACCGGGTTGCGACTGGCACCCACACTTTCCCTCCTATGTGAGCGACCAACCAATCTAACCTTAACATTTCAATATAATATCAACAGAAAGTAATGCGGAAGACTTAAACTCATTAAATAAAGACCAATTCATTAACTTCTAAAATTCAACATCTATTATTCCCCCAAAATCTGGAAGTCATCATCACAAGAACATCTACGATCAAATGACTAAACTAAGAATATTCTAAAAGCTAAAAATACATAAGAAGCTAGTCCATGCCGGAAGTTCAAGGCATCAAGACTTGAAGAAGGAGATCCAGTCCAAGCTAGAAGCATTAGCTCACCCTGAATTTCCGATATAGTAAGACTGGCTTGAATTACTGTTGAGTTGAAGACGATGGCACGTTTGCTGCACTCCACAAATAAAAAAGAAGAAAACATAAAAGTAGGGGTCAGTACAAAACACGGGTACTGAGTAGATATCATCGGCCTACTCAAAATAGAAAACAATATATACAAGTAATATCATAAACTCAACTATGATACTCAACATGTAGCAACAATAAGTACTATATCATTAACCATTACCATCAAGTTCACACATGAGGACTCAAGCCTCAATACCATACTCATTTGGGAATTATGTTCTTTAGATTGAGTATATTAACATCTTTCAAGATTCATTATCTTTATTTCTCTTGTGTTGGTACGTGACACTCCGCTCCCTCATATTCATTAATCCTCTTGTGTCGGTACGTGACACTCCGATCCCCTAAATCTACGTGTCGGTTCGTGACATCCGATCCCCTAAATCTACGTGTCGGTTCGTGACACCCGATCCCCTAAATCTACGTGTCGGTTCGTGACACCCGATCCCCTAATTTTACGTGTCGGTTCGTGACACCCGATCCCCTAATCTCTTTCTATTAATTCATCAAGCCTTCTTTCTCACCAAGGCATCATCAATCTCATTACTTTAGTTCATCAAGCCTTCTTTTATATCAAGGCATCATCATTAACAAGAGATTAGGTTTTTTATCAAGATTTGGGATTCAATAGCTTCATCATGCTTAATATAATCACAATTATATAATCACGTTCATGCATGCAACAATTAAGCACATAGCAGGGTTTTACAATACTACCAATACATATCATTCTCTATTAAGAGTTTACTATGAAAGCATGAAAACCATAACCTACCTCCACCGAAGACTAGTGATCAACAAGCTATCTTCTCAAAATCCTTGCTATCCTCTTCGTTTCTCTCTCTCTCTACTCGTTCTCTTTCTTTTTCTGTCTCTCCTTGTTCTTTCTATTTTTCTTATTCAAACCCTCTTTCTTTTACCCTAATGAACATATAATTAAGAATAAAAGATGGCAATAATGCCCCACTAATTAACGTAGGGTTACCTCTTTTAATCCCCAAGTAATTAGACTTATTAACGTTAACCCACTAACTTTATAATTAAGGCAAGAATAGTCAAAAACGTCCCTTAAAACGTATGAAGAAATCCGATCCGGACTGGGATTGCGCAACCTGTGACGGGCCGTCGTGCCTGCGACGGTCCGTCCTGCAGGTCGTCGCAGAGTTCAGAGACCCAAATTTCCACCAAGGGTCTGTGACGGTCCGTCACACCTGTGACGGTCCGTCCTGCCATTTCGTTACGAAGTTCAGAGAGTCGATTTTCAGTACCCAATTTTCAGTTTTTCTAAGTGTTTTGAAACGAGACCCTGCGACGGTCCGTCGTGCCCATGACGGTCTGTCGTTGGGTCCGTCGCCTCAGCCTGTTTTTCCAGAATAAAATCTGCTGCTCAAAATGACTAAACAGGTCGTTACAATTCATAAATCCCTCTATGATTGATTGTGCATAGCCACTTGAGAATTAATAAATCTTTATTCTCAAAGTCTACAATTTCAATACATCTCACTATTTCGTCTTAATATTAATATGTAAAATGGTGAAATTGTAAGAATATCATAAGATTACATATCATCATTAATCTAAATCAAATTAGATAACATACATAATCCAGAGAACTTACTTGTTATAGTCGTAGCACAAGAGGAAGAGTAGGATGAACCGCAATTGAATTTTATTACTCAATGGTGGTTGTCAAATATGTTGTAGCAACTCATATACGCTGCCTATACCCTAATTGATGAAGGGAATAATGTGTAGGATTGTTATACTATTTTCATATGTTGTATTGTTCTCTCTTTTTAATATCACATCATATCTGTGTTTAAACAGAAATTTTTAGGGCTAACTAGTCACCTGAATGGGCCTTAAAGCACCTCTTATGGGTGGACCCAAATTTTCTACAAATATAAATTGTATAACTATGACCAAATTGATCCTCTTGAAAATCTTCAAGTAAATTTGTTTTAGAAAAGGATAATTAGTAAACTAGTCAAAATCCCTAACATAATTATTAAAAATATCTACACTTTAAAATAATTATTAAAAATGTCAATATATCAATATTTTAGCAAATAGAATGTATAATAATATAACTAGTTTTCTTACCTTTTATTTCTCAAATCAGGTCCTTGAAAAAGAAGAAGAAAAAAAAAACTCTGATTACCCACTTTCCCCTCTTTTAAGGTTTTAACGGTTTTAAATTTAAACGTTTAAATATTTTTTTAAAATACTTGGCGCTCAAATATTCGTTATAATTTAATTTATTAATATTATAAATCAACCCACTATCCACTCATTACTAACTAAACTCCACCCAATTAATAAATGAATTCTAATATCGAAATATCCCTATGCATCTCTACTAAAACACGACGAAACTACAGGTTCCTAAAAATGACATCTAAAATTATCCTAGTCTGAATCGAAGCCTCAAGTAAATTTAGGTTGAGTTGCTTATTTAGGAGGACACTTTTAATATGATTCTCTTTAAGCTTGAATTTAAAATTAATGATTAAAGGTACCTCTCGAATTAATGCATGCATGTTTTTATACAATTTTATAAATATTTGTGATTTATTTGAAATATTAAAACTTCAATATATTATTTTTTAAAAAAAGTTATATGTTAATTAACAACACATAATTGAGACGAAGGAATAATTAAGACGAGCATAGTCAGACTTTTAAGTTTATCGGTAATTTGTATTTAGAGACTTGAATAATAATATGTTTTGATTAAGGACATGAATGTGTGATAATGTACTTCTATAGACATTTTCACCTCTCTAGTTTTTTTGTTGTTGTATTAGTAATGAAGCGACTTTATTAAATTGGTGGGGTTTAATTAGTAATAGGTGGGTAGTAGATTGATTTATAAATTATATTAGTAAGTTAAATTATAACAAATAGTTGATAAGCATGTATTTAAAAAAATAATTAGATAAGTTAAATTTAAAACAAATAAATAAGTGGTTAATTTTGAATCCAAAAGGTGAATGACAAGGGTATTTTGGAGTCAATAGGTAGGTAGGAAGGGTATTTTAGATCCTATAGGTGGTTGGAGGGTAGTTTTGTACCATTTCTAATA